TTGTCATTCTCATCAGCATGCTATTATGTACATATTGTTCTTTGCTTATTGTTTTTATGCAAAGAGATTTAGAGTTCGCTTATTGAGATCGATAATTTAGAATATTTATTTTCGATGTGCTACTAGTTTATGCAATGTACGTACGTATAAACTCTAACGCTAACCTAAAACTAACCCCTAAAAAATGCACCTCAAAAATTTTTATTTTACGGTGGCTTGTCTATTTTCACATTGTACAATATTTCATTTTAATTAATCCGATTTTATTTTAACCCGTCACATTTATTCTTGTTACATTATCCGAATATATCGAGGCGTAAAATTTTTAATATACCCTTCGCAAAAAATGCTCATTGGCAATGAAATTAGGAATTTTGTCGACCAAATTTGTGATCGTTACACGAACTTTAATTTTTATCAATGATCTTTTTATCAATGATCTTATATCAATGATTATGTATGTACCATTTCAAATCGTTTTATCAAAACACTTCAAATACGTGGCACAAAAGTCATTGAGAGATATCAAAGATTGTTATTTACATATATGATATGATAAAACAAATTAGCTATATATAAGTAGCAGGATGATACGATACCGACATTATTTTTCTGCTCTACGCATTTGTACATATAGTGTGAGAAATATGTCGCAAACAAGAAAGCATTTAGTTGTGAAGCCTCTTTATAGTGAGTTAGCAAATTAATGTTGATTTAAACATTCTATGAAAATAACCTTCTAACTAAGGATAAGCAAAATTGGTATAATTGTATAACAGATAATAATGTATAATAATCTTATTAAGCATAACGTTATTATATCATAAATTTTTTTCAATTAAATCAATTTTTCCCATCCAACGCATTAACAATACTATGCAAGCATGGGTTATTTTAATAACAAATACTTTTAATCGTTATCAAATAACTGACACTTTAAAAAATATTATTTTAAATTATCAGAAAAAATTGCACCTCGCCTACCTATCGAGGTGTTAATGTCTAATTCTCAATATAAAGAACAAAGAGATTTATTTTTGCAAGGTTTTGCTGAAGTTCAAAAACGAGATATTTTCAACGCTTCATCTCTCTATGCTCAAAAACAAGATGCTGGCTACAGATTCTCTGATATCGATCCTACATCTTTCTATGCTGTTGCTTCTATTCATGGTCTTCCTTATGAACCTTTTGATTTTTTGCCTACTGAAGATATTAAAACTACTGAATGGAATCCAAGTGAAAGTAACAGGCCTGGGGGATATTGTCACCATGGTGATGTCCTCTTTCCTACTTGGCATCGACCATATGTTCTGTTAATCGAAATGCTGATTTGTCAATCAGCAAAAACAATTGCAGCCAAGTAAGTTTTAATTTTTTTATAATTTTATATCGTGTATATATATACATACGCATATATATATATGCTATTGGCGTTATTTTTAAAAATATCTTACCTGTTTTCGAAATAACTCGCCCTCTTTACATTAATACGTTTATTTCGAAAATTAATCAAGAAAATAGTTTTATATTATTTGAAATAACAAATGCTTTTTATTTTTATTTTATTTTACAAGCTATCCCGATGATAAAAAAGCCGCATATCAAAAAGCAGCTGAACAACTTCGATTTCCATATTGGGATTGGGCCAGTCCAACTACACTTGCAAGTGGTATGCCTTCGTTCCTTTATGAAGAAACTCTTGAAGTTGTAACTCCAGATGGAACAGATTCATCTTTTCGTAATCCTCTTCGCGCTTACACTTTACCACGAGATCTTGGAAGTTTATCACTTGTTGGTGATTCAGCAAACCCAACTAAAAGACCTTACATTCCGGATCCGGGCATAACTGTTTTTACTCCAAAAGGTTATTCTACTGTCAGACATCCTAACACTAATTACGCTTCAGATGATAATGCTGCTAGTCTCGATATTACAACTCAGTGTAGTGCTGTATTCCGTCCATCTATTTATCAAACTATCCATTATGTTAAAACATGGGATCAGTTCAGTAATCATGGTGGTTTTCAACCTCCTAGTGGTGGTAAAAAACCTACCGTCCCTATCACAGAAAATTACGGTCATTACGCTTCTATTGAATTTGTCCATGATGCTGTTCATGGCGCTGTAGGTGGAACTGGGGGTCATATGGCAAATCCTGATTTGGCTGCTTTCGACCCCATATTCTTTCTTCACCATTGTAATGTGGATAGGTTCCTTGCTATTTGGCAGGCAATTAACCCTAATGCATGGATCGTAGATGATGCTGAAGCTTCTTTCACTGAAGGTACTTTCACTGAAGAGCCTCTTAAAAAACTTACTGGGAAAACAAACCTTACTCCTTTTAGAAGAACTGAGACTGATTTTTGGACTTCAGATGAAGTAAGGTATGTATACGTTTAAGTAATATATCAAATTTTTTTTTATTTATTGATTAATTTGACAATTCTTTTGTTTTATTATAGAAATATTGATCAACTTGGTTATACTTATCCTGAACTTCAGGAATATAAAGATCCTGTAAAATTGAAAAATTTCTTGATGGAATATTATCATCCAAACTTATATTTGTAAATATATACTTTTTTTTTTTTTTTGTATTTTTTATACCGTAAAACTTTTTTTTTTTTTTCATTTACTAATTTAATATAAAAAATCTTTAGACAATTTCATTGGAAACTTACCTTAACCACTAAAAAAAATCAAGTTGGATCACCATTTGAAATTCGAGTGTTCCTTGATAAACCTGATGCAGATGCTCAAACACCTAAAAGTAGTGCAAACTATGCTGGGTCTGTAACAATCTTTGCTCGTGGTCCGGAAACTAAATGTGCTAATTGTAAAGCTCAAAAAGATGCTGTGGTAAATGGTAGTGTTGACCTTACCCAATGTATGCAAAGGCTTAATATTGATTTGAATAATCAACGTAGTTTACGACCTAATCAAATCAAAATTGTAGCTGCTCGTGGTGGAAGTAATATAAATCTTAAAGATGTTTTAGTTTCTGCTGACTATTTCATTTTTGATGAAGGTCCTGGACATAATCATGATTACGAAAATTGGACTACGCAATTAGTAGGAAATGTTTATCCAGGCAATAATCAGTAAAAGTAATTTGTATCAATTAAGAAATTTTACATATCTAAATTTTTGATAGCTTGCATTAAGAAATTGCATTTATGTGAGTCTGTTGTTATATATTTGGAAGAATTGTATTTAAAGAAGTATTGTATTTAAGGGTTACATTTATATTAGTTATATTGTACAAAATAACATTATTCAATAAATTCAGGTATACAATTAAAATTATAAATTTTTTAGTAGTGAATCGCTATTTTCTACTTGAATCTTGTTCTTTTTATTTCTTCGTTTATTTCATTATCATCATTCAAAGAATTATCAAATAATGGTAACTCATCAAAGTTCTAATTAAATACTGTACATGTAATAACTAACAAAGCGTTAGCTCGGATAATGAACCCTTTGCCCTGATCATCAAAAGTGTTCACTTTAAAGCCAAATTTTATAAGCTTTGCTAACTATACATTCAAAATTACATTTACAATTCACAAAAGAGCATGAAACCTATAAAATACAGGATACGTAAATGGCGAAGTATGAGACAGAAATTTTATTTAAAAGATTTTACGAATACCAGGATGTGTTTCTATACAAATCGCGTCATACGACTACATTATTTACTTAAATTAAAATATTTAACACTATATTACAATTGTAACTTGAAACTTTGCTAAGTCAAGAAAATGATGTTTTACCATTCTTTACTATAAAACTCGGGGGAAAAAAGCTATAAAATATAATAAATAATCTATTTAATTTACGAAAGAGAACATACATATATTAAATCTTGTTACCATTCTTCATAAGTAAATTATTAATCAAATATATAATTTTATTACTAATTGAGTTACCCTCAAGGTATAAAAACGTCAATGTAGTATTTTTACGAAGAGCTTCGACTAAATCATCACCTTCTTCGGAACCAAGTTGATTATCACCAAGATACAAGGAAACTAAAGCGTTGTTTTTACAAAGTGCATCCGCAACTGCTTTTCCACCTTCAGATCCAAGTTGATTATCGTCAAGATGTAAAGAAGTTAAAGTAGAGTTTTTACAAAGAGCCTCTGCAAATGCTTTTCCACCTTCAGATCCAAGTTGATTATCATCAAGATGTAAAGAAGTTAAAGTAGTATTTTTACAAAGAGCTTTCGCAAATGCTTTTCCACCTTCAGATCCAAGCTCATTATCCCAAATATCCAATAAAACTAGAGCTTCATTTTCACAAAGAGCTTCCGCCAGTGCTTTTCCACCTTCTGATCCAAGTTGATTACTATTAAGATTTAAATGTGTTAATCTATTATTTTTACATAGAGCACTTCCCAATGCTTTCCCACCTTCGGAACCAAGATAATTATTACAAAGATCTAAATGTGTCAAAATGTTATTCTTACAAAGAGCTTCTGCTATCGCTTTCCCCCCTCTAAAGTAAAGAAAATTATTTGAAATGTCCAAGTGAGTTAGAGTAGTATTTACACAAAAAGCGCCAGCTAAGGCTCTTCCACCTTTAACACCAATTTGATTATGATTAAGATTCAGGTCGGTAAGTGTATTATTTACAGTAAGAGCTTTAGCTAGTGCTCTTCCTCCCTCGGAACCCAGTAGATTATTAGAAAGGTTTAAATGTGTTAAAGCGGTATTTTTACAAAGTGCCTCAGCTATTATCTTTCCACCCTCAGAACAAAGTTCATTATATCGAAGATCTAGTAAGGAAAGACTAGTATTCTTACAAAGTGCTTCAGCAAGCTCTTTTCCTTCTTCAGAACCAAGATCATTATTACTAATATCCAAACATTTTAAAGTCTTATTTACACATAAAGTTTTTGATAATGCTTTTACGCCTTCAAAACCGAGCTGAGTATTCCAGATACTTAAATAAGTTAGAGTAGTATTTGTACAAAGAGCTGTTGCTAGAGCTTTTACACCTTCGGAAGAAATTTCGTTACCAGAAAGATTTAGATGAACTAAAGTAGTATTCTTATAAAGAGCGTTGGCAAATGCTTTTCCTACATCAACGCAAAGTTTATTATTATAAAGATATAAAGAAGTCAGTGTAGTATTTTCACAAAGAGCTTCAGCCAAAGATTTTCCACCTTTTAAACCGAGTTGATTATTTTCAAGACTCAAAGAAGTCAGAGTAGTATTTTTACAAAGTGCATCAGCTATTTTTTCACTTTCAGAATCAAGATTGCTGCTAGTAATACTTAAGGACGTTATAGTTGTATTTTTACAAAGTATTTCTGCCAATAAGTTCATTATCTTGTTATGACCTATATTATAAAGGTTTAGATATTTAAGTCTAACACATGTTCGTAAAAACATTGAAACCAAAGAATATTTAATAGATTGAGCCACATATTTGTAACTTATTAAACCATGAGATCTATATCCTTCATGATTAAGCCAATCTATAATTCCGTCATCAGAAATAATATCTAAGGTTGTAATATAAGTTGTATATTCAAATAATGGTTTTGAATGATTTGAAAGTATTACTTCAAATGGAATTAATTGAACTTGCTCTTCAAAATTTAATCCTAAAAGACATGTTCTTATAAATTTTCTATTATAAAAAGGGACTGGACCACACCATAATATTGGTATGATATTTCTACACCATTGACGGTTTACTAAAAGGCAAGAAAATAAATTTCTATTATAACCTTTAAAATTAATAAATATTTCAAAGAGGCATTCGTTTGGTAATTTGATCATTTTTTTTATTAAAAAAAAAAAAAAAGAATTAAGTTTTTAAACAAGTTATGATTATTTTAATCGACATCGGAGTTTGATAGACCATAATAATTTATACTAGCGTTAGAATTTGTGTTATTCAAAGATCATATGAGACTATGAAATTATCTAATTAATCTATCTTAGGTTAATACTAATCATAAATCTGATACGCCTAATACATAATTGACATAGTATGTCATGTTTGATTACAACATGATGTACGAATTTGTTCCATACTTTTGCCTAGTGATGTGCCGCGTACAGTACTATACGTACAGTACGGTACGTACTGTACGTACTGTACGCTAAAATTTGTGCCGATCACTTGTTCCAGCCAATCAGATGCCAGAAAAAGAACTATACGTACAGTACGTACTGTACGTACTGTACGTACTGTACGCTAAAATTTTTCAGGTATCATATAAATGGCACATCACTACTTTTGCCACAATTGGATTTTATGTAATGAAAAAGAACTGCCTTTTTTGGTTGATTTTATATACTATATTACTAAACTAATACTATATCTTTTTGTATTTCTTTTTTTAGCATCATAATTAAAATAATTTATTTCTGAAAACATCAAATAATTAATAGTTATAAGTTATCGTATAGTGGATAAAAAGATATTGGTATGTACGGTAGTATGGGTACAGATTAGTTGTACCTGATCATATCAAATAAAATAACGTGATTCTAGTTCTACTAGAATAATATAAGCTCGAAATTTTGTTTTTTTCTTTAAGCATTATTAGTTTTAAAAAAAAAAAAAATCCGTACCAAAAATAGTAACATGGCGGTATGATAATGTCTTAGTATTTCTTATATTATTATATTTATAGAAAGGTTGAAATGATGTATTTTATAACAAGTTAGAACATAATAATAATATTAGATTGCGATTATAGCTAATGTGACTATAGCAAGAGTTGTTTGTATTTATATTCTTATATATATATATATATTTATTTATAGTGTTAAGTAAGGTTATGTTTATATTTTTTATTATTATTATTAATAATAATTAAAATAAAGTTTTGTATAAAGTTTTGCAAATACGAAATTGTAAATTATATTACGTGTATAATAATTTTTAGGATATAAAATACAAAACAAATTGATTTATTCGTATAAAATTAATTTATCTGTAATCTAAATATTAAAAAATATTGTCTTGGTATGACATTTTTATTATCAATTCGAAATTCCTGGGCTTATTATAACTTCGTCCACTATAATTTGTCTCTTTTTTGCACCACCTATTGTCATGTAAATAAAATACATTTAACACTTGTAAATCCGAAATTTATAGCAAAGAATGCTCATTTGCTAAAACATGAATAAAATAACGGAAGCATAATTTTGACAGGCGTAGAATCGATTTTGCTATCATGTGATATATTTAGATTACTGAACTAAAAAGGCTTCGTTTATATTATAGTTAGGATTTAAGATAGGGTTAAGAAGGGCAAAAACAGGTTTAAACACCGATTTTTAAAATAGGTGATGATTAAAGTCCAAATAGTAATCTGAATTTTTTTAATTACATAATAAAAAAGGTTTTCATCCTTAATAATTTAGCAAAGTACAAGAAAATTTTATTAGTATATATACCTAAGAATGGCTTTATTAATAGACTTCAGAAACCACGTGACAGTAAAATTCAATCCAACGAACATGATCATTCATATCTGATATGATTTACTTCTATATACTTTGCAACTAATACGTAATTTTCCAAATCCGTATGAATTGAACATATTACAAGGGAACGGGATCTTTTACTTTGCTTACTATGTAGAACGAAAAAATCTATTAATAAAAGGTTATTTGTATTGCGCCAAATTTGAAGGTTAGTAAAAAGATGATACTTTGCTTACTAAATACGATTCTTAAGAAAAGAATCGAAACGTTAATAAATTACCGATATACTGTAGATGTAAAGAAAGTTTAGAACCGCGTTAAATTAAATAAAAGTTAAGGATATAAAGATTTTTTATTAATAAAGACTATTGTTTTCGTCATAATATCCACATTTACCTTATGAACAATAATAACAAGTTACAGGATAGATTTTGATGATTTTTACTTCTCTTCAAGAAAATGCACCTGTTTCGCTTATTAAACGTGATGACTTGCAGCAGAAAAAATAAAAAATTGGAATCGTGTTATCAAATGGGAAATTACTCAAATTCTGGACTTATCGCCCGCACCTGAAAATATGATTCAGAAAGATTTTATGACTTTGAAAGCTACTTTAAAAATTGGTTTACCTCATATTCGTTACTTTCAAA